TTCAAATTTACTGTCCGACTTTGACCATAACGCCTCCCTCCTGTATGACAAGCGTTGTGCTGCTTCGCACTTTGCTTAGCTCAAAAAGATAAGAATACGTTTTGCCGTTTACATGCATACAGTCGTGAAGCAAGCCTGCTAATCAGCTTTCAGGTCATAATAAGTAGTCATATTTATCAGCGGATGTAATTGAAGCACAGTCATCAACTTTCATGTGAACCCCTAGTACACATGCAAGCAGTCAACCTTCTTGATGGCACCTGTTGCAGGGTCCTAAATGGTCTCCCTGCTACACTCTGCTTTCCAATGAAGGGCGAGTTTATTCAAGCGATTTCGCTGCCCTTTCCACCTCATTTAGTGCATCATTCAAATCATAAAAACAATAAATAATAGTAATTCATTTTTTGCATCCGCTTTATCCTGCCACTTACGCCCTTCCACCCTCGTCTCCCTGGGTTCGCTCCAGCATTTGATCTTCCCAGTAACAGTACAGAAGACCGGGCTCAAATTCTATGAGATATTGCTACAAATGCCCCAATTTTTACTCTGGTAATGGTTACCGCTTACTAAAAATGAATCTAACCACAATTCTAGTCCCTCGCTTTTCTACATAACGCTCTTCACGAACTGAAGTAAAGCTATGGTGATATCATGTAATCCCTTCCCATCAACATTATACACTTTTTGTGTCTCGGGTATTGTTTTGAGGTGGATTTGTCTGTAAAAGTAAACACGAACACAAAGAGAGATTGTGAGACTGGCATAAATTACTGTGAATGGAAAAAGGCTCTATTGAAGTCTCTAGTTTGGAGTCAAGCATGCTCTGGCTCGCTGAATCGTTATGGGGGCAGCCGACTGCTAAAGATGGCGATTCCTAAATCTTCCCAACCCTCCGGATAGAGCAGAATCAGGAATGAGAAAACATACCTCCCTACTGTTGGTAGATAATTCCTCGCGTGAAAGAGTTGCCAAATCAAATATAGCCACCTTTGAAGTCGCATCAATCATGTCAACGTGGACGCGTTTCTCAAAATCCTTCTGCACCACAATCACACACGCTCCTGTCAGATTCACCTGACACGAAGAATGAAACGGTAGTTAAGGGCTATTTTAACTTTCAGACAACAACAAAAGGCGGTTTCGCAGAACCATATTAAGTTTGATCGACCTGCCATAGTTTCGTTTTATTCCACTCACTTTGACTTGTTAGAACAACTTTGACGGTTCTAAAGTCAGGAAAGAACGTTGTATGAAGATTTTGTAGCAAACGACACTATGCTAAATATAGCCTTAAAAATTGCCTATTGTATTCCTGTTAAGCAGACCTATCCCTCCGTGTACATACACTCTTCAAAATGGCAAACAATCTCGCACAATTGCGCTATTATGGATTTGCCGTGCACATAGACCGATTCATCTCTTGTACACCATCCCACAACGTATTGCGAGTCCATCGTGCGTGAAGCATGGGGTATTCCACGTGACAGCCGAACGTTTACGGGCATGACTGTTAGAACACCACAACAGAGTTCGACACAGGCGGAAAGACGTACGGTCTTCTTTGAATTGTGTACACCACGTCTTTATTTAGAGGAGACTTAGTTCATCACACCTCAGGTGCTGCTGTAAGCAAGCACTCACCACCACCGCTAGCTGTCGTCCTGATAAAGCGTGTCTGGCCCAGCAGATGTCATATGCGCGAGTCGTGAGTGTAAACTTGGAGGTCATGGCCACACACTATGGCGTGTGGTATCATTGAACTGTTCTTCAGTGGCTCCACTTTCGAGGAAGATG